CCAGCTCAGCCCACCAGGGGGCGGGGCTGGCTGGCATGTGCTGCTGGGGGTTTGAACCACAGTCCCTGTGCTTTGCTAAGCTTGTTCTAAGTAGGTGCTTTAGGCTACTGAGCCATCTCACCAGCCCTCCTCTTCCTTTCCATCCGTACCACACCCTGTCCATCACTGAATCCGCAGCTCTGTCTCTGAGGTTATCCAGACCCTACCCACACCTGTCTATGCCTCTATACTTCTGCCTGGAAACTCAGGCAAGCACAAAGCCACCTGCCTGGTCTCCCAGCCCCAGCTCTCACTGCAGTGCAGCCCCCTGCTCCAGGACGCCCAGTCTTTCATACCCAGTGCCACCTTCCCCACCTGCCCAGAGTATTCTGTGGGAGGCCCAGACACACCAGCCTTCAGATGAGCCACTGTCTACACCCGCCTCTCCTGGGGCCAACAGAGAGCCCCCTTTCTGTCCCTGCAGTCACCTCATGGGAGGGGCTGCTCCATCCTGACACTGTGCACATCTCCTCCCTGCTGAGTCCCTCTAAGCCAAGGCTGTGCAGTGTGTCTGTGTCCCTCAGAGCACACGTGAAAGCAAACTGCTTCAGGTGTGCGGCCTCCTTTCAATGGGGAAGAGGCTCATACGCTGGCTTGTTTCCAGATGTGTCTTCCTCCCGGACCAGGGGGCCTTCTTTGTGAACTATGTGATCGCCTCAGCCTTCATCGGCAATGGCATGGAGCTGCTGCGGCTGCCAGGCCTCATCCTCTACACCTTCCGCATGGTCATGGCCAGGACAGCTGCTGACCGCAGGAACATCAAGCAGGTGGGGACTCTGACTCCCTTCAACCCCCAGGCCTCTCCCCTGCGCCAAGCTCAGGTTTTGCCCACCACCCTGCTTCTTGCCCTGGATCAGGGCCACCTCTGCTGGTAGCTTCTCTGCAGGAAGGTCTCCTTAATGTGGGGAGGAGGGCAGTTTGGGACTCGTGCACTGTGACCAGTTTGGCTGCATCCACCCACACATACACCTGGAGTCCCCAGGTTCCTGTCCCCAGGTAGCCCTCAATGATAGAGCACTGCTTAGGAAGCCCCAGGCCCTGGGTTCCATCCCCAGTGTGAAGAAAGGGGAAGGTGGGGTTGAGAGCACAATCCATGCCTTTCCATGGACACCCCTTTGCACATGTTCTTGGCAGAGCCTGGGTATCAAAGGCATTTTGAATTTGTAGCCGTTGTCCCAGCACTCGCTACATTGGGTGGCGTGGGGGCCTGTCTTACTCCCCGTGTCCCCTGTGTCTTGGTGGTGCCATGAGACAGGCAAGTATACTCTGTTTAACCTCCAGATCCCCTTGTGAGACCAACAGGACTAGTGTTCTGGTTGCACAGAGGTACAGGTTAAGCTGGCCGAGGACACATGCCCAGAAGGAGCTGAGCTGGTGTCTCCGGATCCCTGGTGCCAAATCCGGGAATCACTCTACACCTGTCCATAGGCCGGCTCTGCCTCATGGCCACTGACTCCAATCCCTGTGCCCTGGAGTCGTGGGCAGAGACTGAGAAACTTCCACTGGCTGGGCAGGGATGCCAGTTATTCTTGTAGTGGGTGGCTGAGAGTCTCCTATCACCTGAGCGCCCAACCCCTGTCGGGCGGGGATGGGACGGGTGGGCTGGTCCTGACATCCTTACCATTTCTTGTGCCCAGAACCAGGCCTACCAGTATGAGTTTGGAGCCATGTACGCCTGGATGCTGTGCATCTTCACTGTCATCATGGCCTATAGCATCACCTGCCCCGTTATCACACCCTTCGGTGAGTGGTCCTCCGGCTGACTCCCTCGGGCAGCTTCTTCCACCAGCCCTCAGGTACAGCCTTCATGGCCACATGAAACAGAAACCACTGCTGCCAGGGAAACACACTGCACTAAGCCTCACCTTGTGTCTGAATGAATTCTGCGTACTGGGCTGCAAATGCTTTTGTGTGGCCTCTGTGGGTCACCCTGTCACTAGGTCACTCTTGGCTTGTGTGTATGCTGGGGATCAACCTGAGGGGTCCACATATGCACAGCGTGCCTCTGCCACTGCGTTCCACATGCCCCACCTGAGAGCTTGCACCACACACCAGCACTGTCTTCCTGCTACCATTGCTGCTTCTGCTGCTTCAGCCTGCAGGGCTGGGGAAGCTCAGTGGAACAGGTCCTGGGCTCTTTCTCCCCAGCCCTGTAAAAATGAAGCCAGGCACCCTCCTTCTGTGTCCTGCTGGGTCACAGCCTATGGCTCCTTGGACTGTCAGAAGGCAGGAGGGTGGGGAGTACTGAGGGCTGGCTTAGTATGGGAGGCAAGCAGTGCTGGGCCACATGCTCTGTGGGCCGGGGCTCAACAGCTGGAGCTCCCTTCCCTGGGACTCAAGGAGAAGCGAGGAGGGAGGGAAAACAAACTAGCAGCTAGAACGTGCTTTTGTCCAATTTCAGCCCAGATTTTGTTCAGCACCCCACCCCTAATTCCAGCACCCCACCCCTAATTCCTTGCAGACTAGCCACTCCCCAAGGGCAGGTGGTTCTACTCAGCCCACATTCCCAGCCCCTCCTTGGAAAAGGCAGACATACTTGGATGTAACAAGGCAATTTGCTGTCTTCCTCTGCCTCCTGTACGTGTGCACACACACACACACACACACACACACACACACACACAGTGGAATAGAGCTCAGAGCTACAACTTGTCTCTCCCTCTGCTTAGAAGTATGAGTTGAACCCACCCACTCACAGCCCACCTTCACAGGCCTCATCTACATCCTGCTCAAGCACATGGTGGACCGGCACAATCTCTACTTCGTCTTTCTGCCGGCAAAGTTGGAGAAGAGGTTGCATTTCGCTGCTGTGAATCAGGCCTTGGCTGCACCCATCCTCTGCCTGTTCTGGCTCTTCTTCTTCTCCTTCCTGCGCCTAGGTGAGTGCCCTCTCTGACCTGGCCAGCCCTGTGCCTCAGAGTCCCACACCCATCCATGCCAGCCTGTCATCAAGTACTAACGTGGTGTCTGATCAGTGGATGGCACCCAGGCAAGGCCTGGGTGTGTGGTGCCCATGACCTGCATGCCACCCGGTTCTCCAGAGACATACCATGCTGAAGACAGATCTGGAGGACTGAGCCAAAGAAGGAAAGCTGGTCTAGTTTGTTCTTAAGGGTGCCAGGTGGTCCTTAACCTCACCATCCACAGTGTGGAGGGGGTGGAGGACCCAGAGGGACAAGGACACCAAGAAAGAGCAAAGGCAGGAGACCTGTGGGTCACCTCTGCTCCCGGCTGTGGGGAGGCCATTCTGACTGCTCCTAGATGAGGCTGGGCTGCAGGGCAGGCCGAGCAGTGCTGACTCCCACAGCAGACAGCTCCCCCCAGGACTGGCATCTCTCCCCAGGTTTGCAGGCCCCTGCCACCCTGTTCACCCTCCTGGCCGTGGTGCTCACCATCCTGATCTGCCTGGCCTATACCTGCTTTGGCTACTTCCAGCATCTCAGCCCTCTGTACTACAAGGTACGGGATCCAAGGAGACCATGGTGTCTCCACCTATTCCTGAACCAGAACAGTAGCAGCCTTCTGTGATCCACCCCTCCCTGGGAAAGACAAGGGTATTTGGAGGTTACATGGCACTTCCTTCCCACCCGCTGGGAGCTTAGAGCCAGCTGGTATTGTTGTTCTGGTGTCAGGTTTTCTCTGCTTAGAGGGTGTGAGTTCAGGAAGATCCAATTTATCCTGCACCTCTTTGCTGTTATCTGCAGACCTCAGAATCTGCAAGACAGGAAGGAAGCGAGGCAGAAGCCCAGGAGCCTCCACCGCTCACAGTAAGCCACCTGCTGCTTGCCCACTGCTTGCTGCCCTTGCTGCTCTGGCTGTGAAAGTCCCGTGTGCGCTGCTGTCCCCTCCTAAGATAAGAGATCTTTAGCCATGGGACAGGCATGTTCTGAATTAGTGTCTGTGGAGAAGGAATCCCCAGTCCCTCTGGATTTTTTTTCTCTTTGTAGTACTGGGAATCACACCTAGGGCCTTGAAGTCACTGAGACAGTGCTGTGTCCCTCAGCCCCAGCCTGGATATCTGAACCTTGTCACTCATTGAGGAGGTGACTGGTGTCTCCATGATGTGCCCACTCTGAGGCCAGCCCCTGCTAGCTTCTTTTCTGCAGTCCTGGTGCTTGGGAATAGGGGCTTTATCACCAGTAACTCAGTCACCCTCTGAGGCCCTCAGTTAGAACAGAATGTCCCAAACAAACCCCTTGCTTCTCCTGCCTTTGGTCTCTGGGTCCTGCTCTGGGACTCGGGTCCCAGAGCAAGGGGGCCGAGGCTAGCGTGGCACTGGCCTCCTTTGCAGTGTTCTCGCAAGTGCTGGGCACTCTTCTCAGCATCCATCCCTGGGCAGGTCCCAGAGGACAAAGTCCTGGGCCCCCAGGCCAGGGAAAGGCAAGACCAAGCGCAGGTGGAAACCCTTCTAAGAGGAGCAGGGCAGACTCATGCCCCAGCCAGACAGCTTCAGCAGGGACTGGGAGAAACAAGCCCAGTGTAGACAGACTTGTTTCCCCTGCAAAGTAAGAGTCTAGAATCCTGTGCTGGGAATTAGAGGGAGTTTCTCTTTTATGCTGACTCTTGTATGAGCATAAGAACTAGGACCGGGTTCTATGTGTTTTCTGGTTTGCCTGGCATTTGGGGAAGTTCTGCAGGTGACACACTTTGGGTAGCACTAACTCCCATTTTCTGACAGCCCTATGTGCCCCAGATCCTGAGTGGTCTGGCCTCGGAGAGGACAGGCCTAACCCTGCAGCATCGGCAGAACTATGGCACCATCCACCATGTCAGTGGGGCCCTCCCCAAGCAGGACGCTGCCCGTCACCCAGTGGATGGCGCACTACCTCTGCATCTCCTATGGACTACGTGTGAAGGCGCCTTCTGTGGAGCAGAAGGGACTCAGCCCTGATGAGGGCTGGCTGGCGTTCTAGCCACAGTAGCGGTGGACCCGTGCTTCGAGCTTTGTGGCTGGGATGGTACCCAAGCTCTGAAGCCAAGATCATGTGTTAGTTCATTCCCCAAGTTATCCTGAGAACAATGTGACAAGGGGAATATCAGGTGAACTCCTGATAATCCTGGCTGATTTGACTATGGCCTGGGCCCCATTTCTGTGGGCTCTGGGACCTGGGTCCCCCTGATGCAGGCAGAGGCGATGAGGACCATTAATAAAGTACCTCTGTCTGAGGCTGGTGGTCACACATGCGGGGTTCCATGATAAGCAGTGCTGGGTTACAGCGAGAGAAGCTGGGCCTGACTGGAAGGGTGGGAAGTATCTTTCTTCCTTATGTCCCCACACCACTACGGACTTTTGTTTAGAAGTCTTCTCCCTGGGGCCTGCAGAGGGTGGGGGTAGGGAAGTCACAGGACCAGGGCATGACTTTGGGACCGAGTCTGGTCTGGGGCTGAAGGGCACAATGCCTTGATGGCCCACCTTACTGCATGTCCCTGCCCAGGCAAACCCCACACCCCACAGCCCTCCATCCTTCGTAGCTGCCACTGCTCCAAGCACGGCAGGAAAGGAGAAAATGGGGCCACCTTCTTCTGTGGGTCACTGAACTGGGTGGACCCCAGCACAGACAGAGGTCCCTGGAAGAGGAGCTTCCGTAGGTAGCCTAGAGCTTCAAGTGTCATGTGTCATTCACATGTGTCTCAGCTCCCAAGGCTGAGAAATGACATCATTTATCATCCAAACCTATGGCTTAACAGGGTGGGGTGAACCTGGGCCCCTAAGGCTGAGGGTTCCACTTTAAGTGTAGCATCCCCAAGAACAAAGGGGCCTTCAGCTGGGGAGGTCATACTCTACCCTTCTGGTCACTCTGTCACCAGTGTCAGAAACTTGTGGATGTCCTGGGGTAATACTTCAGGCTCCTCCTGGAAAGGGAAGCAGCTTCTGGCTGGGCCAGGTACACAGTGACCCAGCACAGAATCACTGGTTCCCATTCCCTGAGGTCCAGCTTTGCTCAACCCCTTACCTTGCTCCCTTCAAAGGAAGGGCCTGGGTCCTATGGCCTATCAGTTACCTGCACACAGCCTCTGTAATCTTACATCTTGCTCAGGTACATAGTGGACAGGCATAGCCTCTGCTTCATCTACACCCTGGCCAAGCTGGCTGGGTGGCTGAGGCAGAGGCCGGTGCAGCATGGGATCCGCACATGGGTATCACAAGGCCCCACCGTCCACCCAGACTGGACCCTTGTCAGGCCATAACCCACAACCCTGTGGCCTGCATCTTGTAGGCCTGGCCCTGAGTCCCTCCTGCCACCCTGGCCCATGCCGCTCCTAGCCATACATTAGAGGCTATGAAAGCACCCCCTTCCACTTGGGGTCCCCAGGGAAGGCAAAGCATAGTAGAGACAGCTGTTCCTAGGAAGCAGAGTGCTGCATGTCATTTGCCTCCAGTGGTTCTGAACTACTGGAGATCAAAAAGCATTTATCATCCAAGCACATGGCTTCACAGGGGAAAGGGATGATGGCAGGGCAGGCCTGGTCCCCCAGGCCTGAAGGTTGGGGTTCAGGGCAGCAAGCCCAAGAACAAGCAGGACAGGCTCATGGCTAGGGAGGCCACACTACCCAGCAGGTCACTGTCGCTCCACCAAAGTCACAAACTTGCGGAGGTCCTCGGCCAGCAGCTTGGGCTCCTCCAGGGCAGCAAAGTGGCCCCCGCGGGCCATGTAGGAGTAGGAGAGGAGCTTGGGGTACTTGGCCCTCACCCACTTCTCAGGGATGTGCAGTAACTCACAGGGGAAAGCAGCAACGCCGGTGGGCACAAAGACCTTCATCCTAGAGGGACACAGGGCCACAGAGGATCTGAGGGTAACATGCAACAGGCAGACTAGACTTGCCATTAGCCACCTGCCCTTCATTAGTTCCACCTTCATGGGCACCTTTTTTTCCTGGCAGGAGTCTAGGGCAGCCTGTGGCACCAACCTTTGATGCTTTTCAGATCCCCCAGCTCTGTCCAAGTGTTAGCCCCCAGTGCCCCACACTGCTGGGCACACTCACCTCTCATGCTTCTGGGTCATTAGACCCTGGCCCAGGTTCTCCTTGTAGTAGCGCTGGGAGGAGACAATGCTCCCGGTCGTCCAGTAAAGCATGATGTTGGTTAACAAGTCATCCAGGGAAAACTTCCTAGGAGGCACAGTGGGAAGCCAGACTGAGACAAGAACAGGGCCCAGAGTACTGCATAGCCTCACACCTGGAGAGTTGAACCTCCATAGCTAGGCTAACCAGATACTCCAGGAGGTGTGACCAAGCCTAAGTCAGGTAGGGAGTTGGAGTCGCACTGCAGAGGCTGCAGCCTGCCCATCCTGCAGCGGCTTCCAGTCAGCCCCTCACAACACAGCTGGGCTCACAGGGGCTCAGCAGGAAAGGCCCAGGCTTCAGAGAGACTGCTTCTTACATCCTGCACTTCTGTTCCTCATCACCCTGCTCTGAGGCTTGGAGCAGGCCACTTAGACCTATGGGTGCCTCCATATCCCCATACATACATGGCAGTGACAGCCATGGGCTAGGGTTTGAGGGAATGCCCAGAACACTGGCAGCCACCCGCCCAAGAGCAACAGGGAGAGAATGAAAAGGAGGTTGAGGATGGACAAGGGGCCTCACTTCTCCAGGCCTCCATCCTCCAGGTCTCGGAATTCTGAATTGGTCCAGCTGGAAAACTTCTCCAAGATGTAGGCAGCCAGTCCCACTGGAGAGTCATTCAGAGCACAGCCTGTGTGGGAAGAGGTACAGCAAGACTCAGGCATAGCACCTGCCTAATCCTGGGGTTCTCACACTCCCCTTCCACAGCCTCTAGCCTCTGCACCCCCAGAGGTGAGCCAGGATAATCTCTCCCAGATCTGATGACGTCTTGCAAATTACAGGCATAGCTTCCTTCACACCAAAAGATCTATAGCTCTGAGATTGGTGAGATTTGAGTTTAAATATATATATATATATATATATATATATATATATATATATATAGGAATGGGGTTTTTACTTTTATTTAGTAGTGATGGGAATTAAATCCAGGACTTCATGCACATAAATAAGTGTTTTATACACACTTATAATATTCAAATAACGGAACTTAACAAAAAAAGGGTATACAGATGAATGTCCATTTTGTATCTGTGTATTCAAAGTGGTTAGGATATATAGTTACAGTCTGTTAATGAATAGAATGATTTGTTCTAATGGTGTTTGTAAATAGGATATCAAGTCCGCATCTTGTACAGCAATTAGCCACTAAGAAGAATGTATGCAATGTGTTAATTATTGAAACTGTCCTACCGATTTGATTTGAAACTGTCTCATTGCTATTTGTTTATCAATAAAACTATGGCAAAAAATAAAAATAAAAATAAATAAATAAATAAATAAATAAGTGCTTTACCACTGTGTCACAACTCAGCCCAGCCCAGAATGCTGGTTATAAAAAGAAGGGTCATTTTTTTCTTTTGGGGGGTGAAGGGTTTTGTTGGTTTTTTTTTAATGAATTTAGGACAGGGTCTACAGCATGTACAGGGTCTCACTACATAGATCGGACTTATAGTGATTCTCCTGTTTTCTTCCTCCCAAAAGCTGGGATTACAGGCATGCTACCAAGCCCAGTCTCAATTAGTGGGCGTGAGGTCAGGAACCAAAGCCACTGCATATCATGTGTCAGCTAAACAACTGGTTTAGACTGGAACTGGATGGCCACATTCAACCTCACTTCTCTAGGGGAATGCCATTAGGGTTAAAAGATCTCCAAGTCCCTTACAGGGGTTTTCACCTGTGAGCAGTGTCCTGAACACCATGAAGTCCCCAATCTCTGGTTGCTCACCTACAGTGTCCGGCTTGGTGGCTTGGATGTGCATGTAGCCGCTCTCCCTCATGATGCTGTAGAAAACCTTTTCCTTGAAGGGGAAGAGCAGCTCCATATCTCTCTTAGTATAGCCAAGAAGCCCCCCAATACGCTGCCCCAGGAGAAGGCTCAGGGTGAAAGCACTTCTTAAAACAAATGCCATGTTCAAGTGCAGGCCTTTCACGTGGCTGAGGGCAGAGAGTGGCAGGTGAGGCTGAGCTTGCATTGAGGGAAGCAGGCAGACACACACAAGGACTGAGCCCAGTGGGGACAGCCTCCCTATTCTCCCCACATGGGTGGACCCTGGTACATGGGGTCTGGTCAGCTGCTGGCAGACAGGGTCCTTCTGAGCAGCTGTGCCCAGCACCACATTCTCTTGGCCATAGGTTCCTAATGGGACCTCACCTGGGCACCAGCTGGGCCATGTTGGTGCAGATCAGGGACCCCCAATCTCCTCCCTGAATGTAGAACTCCCGGAAGCCCAGCCGCAGCATCAGCTTGTAAAAGATCCTGGCAGTGGCCACTGTATTCAGGCCTATTCATAAAAAAGGAAAGTGGAATCACAGGGAAGTCACTTCCAGAGCATGGGATGCCCCATGAACTCCTCAGACTCTATGTCTCCATTGGTAGTGAGGCCAGCTCCCACAGGTAAAAGAGGCTTGGCATGACATCAAGTGGCCAGCACCTGCCTCAGATCAGACAGTAAGCAGACAGCACTGCTCTGCTGGGCTCCGGTAGCCTTATGGCCTGGGAAGGCCTCAAGCCAGATCTGGGTGAGCTAGCCCTGTAGCAAAAGAATGCATGCCTCTCAGACACTTCCTCTCATCCTCCCCAAGAACTAGGTGGGAAGCCCAGGCCATTCTTGGCAGGACAGGGTGTTCTGAGCCTTCAGCAGCCCCTTACCCTTCTTGCTGGATGCCTCTGAGAAGCCGTAGCCAGGGATAGAGGGGCAGATGACTTCAAACACATGTTCATCACTTAGGCCGTGGCTCTTGGGATCCACCAGGAGCGGGATGATCTTATAAAACTCGTAGAAGGAGCCGGGCCAACCATGCACCATCAGCAAGGGCTTTGGAGTACGTCCTGAGGGCAGCTGTTGGGGCTTTACATGGACAAAGTGGATGTCCAGCCCTGGGGACAGAATACAGTGAGGGTGGCACAGGCATTGGGTGCTGCTGAACTTAAAATGTTCTGTGGTACTGGCCATGTTCCCCTCGCTCATACTGTACTCACCATGCCATGTCCTCAGACATCAAGACCCCCCATACACAGAGAGAGAGAGAGAGAGAGAGAGAGAGAGAGAGAGAGAGAGAGAGAGAGAGAAACAGCCAGTCTGTACCCATATGGGATCCCAGGCCAAGATAGCACGGTACAGCTACACATTTTATTTTTACCCCACTGGCATTTTTGAGACAGTGTCTCACTATGTAACCCAAGCTGACCTTGGCCTTAGTGATCATCCCAGCTTCAGTCTCCTGAGTGTTCTCATGGTATGTAGCATGGTCTCCCCACCCCCACCTACAGAACTGCATAATTTAAAAGTTGGATGGGGAGATAGAGGTCTGGAGATCCAGCAATAGAGGGTTAATCAGTTAGATTATAATTTAACAGTAACTAGAATATAATGTAGTCATTGAAAGTAACAGTGTAAGGGCCGACCAGATAACTCAGCAGACGACTGGGTTTCGATCCCGAGTGCCATGCTGGCTCCACCCCCATGGTGCCTTGAGGCACTGACTGAGACTGGGTATAGCTGTGTGCGCCTGTAATCATAGCACTTGGGAGGCTGAAATCAGGAGGATCACTGCAAGCCCAATCTGTGTAGTGAGACCCTGTAGACCCTGTACTAAAAATACATTAAAAGAAAAATACCAGTGTAGATATATATTTAACATAAAAATAGTTATTGCTACGTGGTAAAAGCAAATTACCAAGTCAGATCCTTTGTATGATCCAGTTTTGTCACGGTTATATGTTTGCATAGTTTATGTGAGTGCTCAACTTTCATGATAAACCCACCAAAAATTGAACATTTCTTAAAATGCATGTAAAGAAGATGACACAGATTCTTCAGTTCATGAGCATGATGACTGGGTGTTCATGCCATATGCATTAGCTATGCCTCCCTCAAATCTCGTTGTGATTCAGGCACACTACCTGTCTGATATGAAGAAGAAAAAAGACAACACAGTGATGAACAGCAGAGAAAGAGCCTCTCTGAGATCTGATGTCCACTTGCTGGAACATAGCAACATGAGAAGAAAAGGAGGAAAGTGGTCCCTGAAGGCCAGGAAGGACCTGAAGTGAGAACTGAAGCCCATGGGGAGAGTGAAGAGAGCAACTTCAGTACAGAAGGAGGTGGAAAGTGACGCCTTCTCCCAGAGCTCTGACTCTGCATGGGAAGGGGAGCTCCAACCTGCAGACACGTAGTGACTGCTGGCAACTGCAGAGGCCTCCACAGAGAAATCAACCAGTGGAACGGAGAAGTGGATGTAGCAGACTGCAGTAGCTGATGAGTTTCGTTTAGACGTCCCCCAGGAGAGGGGACTGGCAGGTAGCCATCTTGCAGAGGGGCCAGCTGAGCTCAGAACACAGAAGAGCTGCAGGCAGCTGCCTGTGTCAGAGTGAGGCTGCAGAGTCCAAGCTGGCAGGAGGCACATGGGGTGTTGCAGGTTGAACAAACTGGGTTACAGGCTCAAAGCCAGAAACCAACCTGAAGTTCAGGTTGGGACTAAAGGTGCAGGCTTGCTTGGATTATCCACTACCCTGCCATAAATTTATGGCTGGCTTGTTGGGATTAATCAGCACTGATCTGGGCTCTGTCTGCCCACTCTACCAGTGACGGCAGAGACATGACTTAAAGTGGAGATTTTTTTCTGTTTTCTTCTCTCATTTTTTTCTTGTTTGTTCTTGTTTTTATGAGTGTGAACACTGTTTCTAGTCTCTCTGTTGTTGTTGCTCTGTGCTGTTCTTATTTCTTCCTTCTCTCTTTCCCTCTTCTACCAATTTCCTAAAGTTTGCATAATCTTCCTTTGTCCTCCAGCGTTGATTCTAATCTCTTATTCTTCTTTTATTTCTCTACTTTCCCCCATTTTTAAATTTCTCTCCTGAAAGTAAAATCACCATACTGAGGGCTTATTTACTGTATACAATTTTATGTATTGTTTTAGATTTTGTCATATAACCAGAAATCTAGTTCATAAAGTTAAAGGTGACATATTAATAGTTATCATGGTTTGTCGTTTTCTAGGCTGTGTTTGAAGCTATAGTAATTGCTAATTATATTATGTTAGTCAAGGTGACATAATTGTTCTTTCAGTTGTTCCTCCTGGTATGCTAAGCCTGAGATTATCTAAGGGATAATCTATGGTATAGTGATAGCTAAGAAATTATATATAGTAAAAAATACTATAGGATGTCTCATGCTGGCCCCGCCCCTGGGGCGCACTGAGACAGTGACTGAGACTGGGCGTGGTGATGCCCTTGGGAGGCTAAAAACAAGAGAACCACTACAAGTCTGATCTGTATAGTGAGACCCTGTAGACTCTGTACAAAAAAAAAAAAAAAAAAAAATACTATAGGCCAGTGCTAAAAAGCCAGGGATTAGGCCAAAGAGGCAGCAATTTCTCTTCAATTAATTGAAGAGATGGGATCTTGCAACAGACTCAAAATCCAAAGGCCAGCTCCACCTGGAAAACATCTCTGAAAAAGTCACTTCCTGGGGGCTCTAACTACTAGCAATGAAGCTGCTGCTATGAGTAATTTACAAATGCTAACCTAGGACTTATATTTAAAAGAAAAAGGAAAAGAAAATGAGAAGAAACTTAAGCAAGATGCAACCACAGACTTCTAGTTCAGGGGACCGTCAGGTGGAACAATACGAAAGCCACCCACCTAGTCTCTCTCTGCACTGGTACCAGTGAAAGTAACAAAGCAGATGAATGAAGCTCTAGTAAAAAAAATCAAATCAGAAATAATTCCTGATTGTTGCTGCTCTGTTCTATTCTTATTCCTGAAATAGATTCAAACAGATATCTAGGAGATTAAAAATTCTATTGAAAATATACACAGATGAATTAGCCAATGTCATGACAGAATTTCAGATACAGAACACAGAATTGCAATTAGCAATAAAAAAAGATTTTTATTTTAAAGCAAGGAACCATGAAAAACTAAAATCAAATCTACTTCTAGATGATACAAAGAAGAATAAGATTGAGTGGGGTCAATTAAAAAGCAGAAGACACTACAAATGACATTTTTTAAAAAACCTGTTTACAGAAGTAATGGCAGAAAACTTCTTAAGCAATTAGCCATGCTCCAATTAGCCATGCTCAAAAAAATCTACACCAGGCATTGAATAGTCAAGACTCCAGGAATTCAACATAAGAACTGAAAGCTGTAGAGAAAAGAAAAAAATTGCCGGGGCCGGGGAGATGGCTCAGTGGAATAAGTGCTTCCCTGGCAAGCGCAAGGGCCTGAGTTCAATCTCTGGTTCCGCAAAAAATAAAAAAATTGCCTAAAAAGGAAACCACATGAGAATTACAGCAAACTTCTCAACAGAAACCCACAAGTCAAAGAGAACCTGAAAAGCAATATTTCAAATCCTAAAAGAAAAAAAAAACCTCCAAGCCAGATTAATATACCCTGCAAAACTATCTTTCAGAATTGATGACAAAGAACACCTGAAGAAATTCATGACCATCAAGGCAGTACTCCCAAATATTCTGAAGGACAGTCTGGAAAGAGATACCAATGGACTATAGCTTCATGGACCCAACAGAAACAACCCAACAGGCAAAGCAAGCAATTAAACAGATGGAGGAAAAAGAAAACAAAAAGAAAATAACATGCCAACAATCAGTCAATGCATATCAATAATAACCGTTAACATTAATGGTCTCAATTCACCAATCAAAAGAAACAGACTGGCAGAATGGATCAAGAAGCAAGATCCAACAATATGCTTCATGTTAGAAACATTTAATTCAAAAACAAATTTATAGGCTGCAAGTCAAATGATGGAAAATGTGACAGGAACCTAGAAAAAAGCTGTGGTAGCTATTCTACTTTCAGACAAAATGGACTTCAAGCCAACACTAGTCCAAAGAGACAGACAAATTCACTACATACTTGTTAAGGGAACAATCTTGTATGTATTTAGAGGTCTCAGCAAGTAAACTCATAATTCTCTCAGAAGAATTGGGTGCTTGTAATTTCTTCTTTGTGGTTTGATTTTACTTTGAGGCAGGGTTTTGCTATTTAGCTCAGACTGGCCTTGAACTTATGGCGAGCCTCCTCCCTCAGCCTTCCAAGCACTGGAATGATAGGCATGAGCCACTGTGCCTGGCATTCTGTTTTATGTGCTAATTTTTCTATAATAAACACATCATAAATGCATAACTTTGTCCCACACAGTGATACAAGCACTAATTATCTTTTATCAATTATAAAACATAGCTTTCTAGTTTGTTTGTTTTTTAACTAGCAGAGAGGGATTATGTATTTTTCCGTGCTGGGGATGGAATGAGTCCTGAGACTCACAAGTGGAGGTAATCATTCCACATTGAGATGTACTGGGTGCTATGGGCCCACCAATGACAAGTGCTATGGAGCAGAACAGATTCTAGAACCTTTCTCTGGTGCAGCTGGACACTCTGGCTGCCCTTCACCCTGGCATCTGCAAACTGCTCTACGCTACCCTGCTCCTCTGAGCTACTACTGTAGATCCTGTACACAGGAGAATTACAGCCAGCTTATTTCACTTGGTACAACCTCCTCAAGGTTACCCATACTGTGACATTTTTCAGGGTTTCCTCCTTTACTTTGAGGCAGGGTTTTGCTATTTAGTTCAGACTGGCCTTGAACTTATGGCGAGCCTCCTCCCTCAGCCTTCCAAGCACTGGAATGATAGGCATGAGACACTGTGCCTATCTTGGTCTGTAGATAATCTTGGTCTGTAGATTCAATTCAATATTATTCAGATCTCCTTAGTTTTTAACCAGTGTACTTTTCTGTCCAGGGACCTATCCAGGCCACCATGGTACATTTATCTGTGATGTCTCCTCAGGCTCCTTCTAGCTTTCAAATTATAAAAATATGTAGAAAACATAACTTTTTAACAAAACAGAGCCCTATATTTGTTTTATCTCAGAACATGATTTTTTTTTTTCATTTAACAACACATCCTAGGTATCCTTCTATGTTGATACATTTACTCCTGTGATAAGTTTATTTTGGTTGATCATCTGATCTCTTTTGGAACATACTGCATGATGTAAAGTTATTTTCAATTTTTTTTTTTTTTTTTTCAGAACCGGGGATTGAACTCAAGGCCTTGCGCTTGCCAGGGAAGCACTTATTCTACTGAGCCATCTCCCCAGCCTTAATAAATTCTGGCACATTATTTTTTGAGTTTAAATTTAGGGATACAACACACACACACACACATGCACACACACATACACACACAAGCTTGCTTGTGTAGACATGAACCCTGACTGCATACATTCATAAGGAACACAGAAGCTGTCTCTGAGCAGAGGCAGGAATGAGAGAGAGACTTGTTCTTCTCTATATTCCCTCTACACACTAAAATTTTTAAACATTTGCATTATAAAATTAGGGCATTGTTATATCATCATGTTCTCTTTAGTGCTAGGGACGGAACTCAGGGCCTTGCTCAGTAGTCCAGTGGGTAAGGTCTGTGACCTGAAGGAGGGAAAGAGACCTCAGTATTGCTCTTACCTCCTGCCCGGCCCACCTTCCCACCTCTCCACCCCAGGCCATCTGCTCCCAGGGCCACACTGCAAGAGTGGGTACATGTGCAAAGTGGCTGTGGGGCTGGAGCCCTGTCAACCCTCTGCATCTCAGCAGAACACCTGGGACCAGAAGGGCAAGAAAGCAGGACCTGCTAAGAGAGGGGAGGAAGGGAGGGAGGGAGGGAGGGAGGGAGGCAGGAAGGCAGGCAGAAGAATCATTCCAGAACGTGTGTGTGCTCCTGTCCTGCTCCAGTGGGCTCCACTGCTCCCTATCCCAGTGAGGGCGAACTTTTCAAAGCTTTCAGAGATGGCTCACATGCTACAGTGGGTTTGCTACCGCTGCCTCACCCCTTCACGTTCCCCTTCAGATTCAGCCTCCCCGATCAGAGGAAGTGGCACTTGCTGA